AAAGAGCGTGGTTTGCATTTCTGAAGGCATGCTGGGCTGGCTAAGAGTAGAAGCACCCAGTGCTTTCTTTATCCTACAACACAGCCGTCTCTGAGGTCAGGCGTGCAACAGGTTATTTGAGTACAGAGAGAAACATGTATGACTTCTATTTATATTTAATTCTTTTCAATTTCTATGCTAGGATACCAGTACATTTATATAATTCATAAACATATATAGATTGAAGGTGTGAAGTCAAAAGAGGATTTATGCTAGTTTTTTTTTTTTTTTTTTTTTGGATCAATCAGATTTGATAATCACAACGGAGGGGCAATTATCCTGTAAGGAACTTAAGAAATGCCACATCGGTTTCAACCACATTTCAGAGGCCATTTTGTGGGAGAGCAAGAGTTCTTGCCATGATTCAACGTTGCTAAATGGCCATTCTGTTTCTGAAGCTTCCTTAACTCTGATTAAGAGGCCTCAGATGGCTGTAAATCTATTTATACCCAGTTAGACCTATTATCACCGCTAAGGTAACATGGACTCCCTCCCAGGGAAACAAGTTATCTGGGGCTGGTTTCCAGAGAAGAAGTGATTTGTGATATTTCCCCCTAAAATTCAGAGGTTACTGAAGAGTGCACCATGAGCTGTGTGGGCAGTGGTCTAGCTCCCCCGTCCTCCATCCTTCTTGTGCTGTGCCTGCCTTCATAGGCGTGTTCCTTCTGGACTCAAGCCCTAATGTGGTAAGCGCCTCCCCTGTCTCCCTGCCTCACAAAGACCCCTCTCTGCTCACTCTTGAGGTGCAGCAAGCTGCACAGTGGGCATTATCCCTGGGGCCATACAGTATGGGAGGGTGTATGACGTTTTCTGTTTCTACCTGGGGATCGTAGTTGAGCAGAGAAGGGGCCATGAAAGAGAGGGCAGGTTGAGGGAGAACAGCTGATTTTTCATGAAATCTGTTCCAGTTACAACTGAACTGCTTTTTCCTTTCTTTTTTTGGCCTCCTTCTCTCCCCTTCTCCCTCCTTTGTGCCCCTCCATTCTTCCTTAATTTTTTTTATAAAGGAAGAAAGACAAGTCATTTCTAAAATGAGCAGAAATCACCAGATAGGCTGTTAGGGTAACAACTAATATGCATGGTGCATATAGGTGTTCACAACCCCAGGATCAGGCAGTGAGCTGGTGTCTAGAGGTACAATTTTGGCTTTGCAGTTGCTAACAGAAGAATTTCACTGACCTAGCTTGCAAGGGGATATTGGTTTATGGAAGCAGGTAGAGAAGCTGGAAATGAGGCCAACCTAACCTACTATTCCTGAGTCGTAAACATGAAGTCATATTCCCAATTCTTTGTATTTTTGTCCTCTCCCCTTGATTTCTGAATTCTGCCTGTTTCAGGTGCTGCTGCTTCTCTGCTGAGTTCTTTCCTGGTTCTTTTAAATTTCTTACTAGTATTTGCAGAAATGGCAATATTGTGCCAACCATCCCAGGCCAGGCAGGTTCATTGTTGATTCAGGCAGATAAAAAGAGAATTTTGGAGCCTTCTGTATATTTGACAGGCCTTTAATGCTGAATCAGGGAGCCAGCAACCAAGCCTTAGTCCCTCTGAATCTCCCCTTTTTAGCGCTGGCTTCTCTGCCCAGGTGTCCACAATCACAGGTGCACGTGCCCTGTGCCCTTGCTCCTCGGCTCTTTGGTACAGTCACTCGCTGTCATGTGTGGGTGATGAAACCTGGGAGGAAAGCAAAGTCACAGGGAGCAGTTATAGAGGCTCGCAGCAAGAGGTGAAAAAGAGCCTGAGTAATCCTGAGTACCTACAAGTTCCTTCCAGGCAACTTGCAGGTAAATTAATCGGGTTCTAGAAAAATAGCTTGATGAATCACCATAATAGAACTTGGCTACACTTTCAGGGCAGAAAAAGATTTAGTCTATATAGCATCTAGTAGCAAGCAGAAACAACGTTAAATGGTAAATTCAGAGCCAAGTGGAACTCTCTGTAGCTTCTGTTTATGCTGTGGCAGAGGGGCAGGGCCCTAGAAAGAAAGACACTGAAATAGCTGCTAGATAGGATAGTTGGTTTGTTCTGGGAGTAAATTGAATGCCTAATTATCTTCAGAGAAATAAGTAGATCCTTCATACTATTTGTCAAAACAATAACTAGTTTAAAAATTTCAGCGAGAGGGGGGAAAGCAAATACTTTGAGATTTAAAAAAAACCCTAAGACACTTTAATCTCCTTCATTTTCTCTCTATCCTTCCTGTGTCCTTCAGAATGTGGTTGCCTATGATGGACGGGCTGGTTCGATTGTGGGATTGATTTTGGGGACTGGATGTCTCTGCTTCTTGCTGTGGAATGTCAGGGGATTTTCAGATGCCTTGTTGCTTTTGGGGTGTGTTTGTTCCCCAAGGTTCTAGGAACCTCCAATTTTACTTGCATTTTAAGGCCTTTGGGGGTTGAGGGCATTTTGAATTTCTGAAATCTTTAGTACCTCATTCTTTTTATTTTATCTTTTGTTTGTGCCAGGTATTCTTGCAGTAAAAGAGCCTCATGGGTTATCAATAGCACATCTAAGTAAATGATGCCCACCTGCCTCTCTGAGAGCACACACCTGTCTCCAGCTGGGGTCTCCTATTTCCCCTTCAGTGTCCCCTCATTCAGAGCAGATTAAAAGAACTCTCGGCTTTTCTGATCCAGGCTCTGATATACGGAGAAAATATTTAACACTTTAAAAGACTCCCTGTTTTCCAATATGAAGCTTTCTCAGCAAGACTGGGCTTTCTGGAGCTTGAGCTCTGAAAGTTTTATAGACAGTTGGTTAAGCCTGTCTCTTCAGAAGCCTCAGGACACGGGTGAAGGGGGAGGAAAGGCAGTTCAAATTAATTGAATATTTACCTTGTGCTCAACTTATTTAAACCTGACAGTGAACCTGGGAAACCCACCTGATGAAAAGGAAAGGACACAGTCTGGAAGGAACGTAGAACGGTCCAGGTGGGGCTGCAGAGGTGATCTGACGCCTCCCCTCTGCTACTTTCTCCTCAGCAGGCGCACTTTTCTAAAATGTTGGCTTTAAGGATCCAGAGGGTGAACTTTTAACACTGCTCAGTGATTTTTTTTTTCCTGGTTTCCCAAACTGAATGGGTTTCCTCCTGTGCTCCCAGCCTCCTGCATGTCCTCTTGCTTCCCTTGAAAAGAAATGCCTATGTTTCTCCCTCCCCTTCTCTATGGGTCTTACAGTGCAGTGGCTCACTGGGGCATCAATTTAATGAAATAAAATTTCAACCATGTTTGGTTCGATTCTAGGTGATACAAATAGAGAATTGTGAACACTTTGTAGTTGGGTTTAAAGGAAGGAAAGAGGTAGAAGGAAAAAGTGGGTCAGGTATGGTGACAGGCAGTTTCCTTAAGTGCTTCCTACTGAGGGTTAGCTGTTAAAATGGAGAAATAATGGGGGTGCCATAGTCCTTTGGCACCTGTGTATTCTGAAATTTGGGGTTGGCAGTTTATATTTTACCAGGCATGTGAATTTTATATGAGCAGCCACTGTTCTAATTAATATGTAATGCATAAACTAATGTCCTATCCAAACCTTTTGAGGTACATATAATTTTTTTAAAAGATTTATTTATTTATTTATTTATTTATTTATTTATTTATTTATTTATACAAGCACCGGGTACAGCCAGAAGCACAGGAGGGTGAGAGAATTCACCAGAGCCAGAGCAGGGAACAGAACAGGCAGACCGATGAAATGCACTGCTAAGGGGAGCAGCAGGCGTGGCAGAAGAGGTCTGTCGCGCCATGTGGGACCCTTGGCCAGCTGCCGGGATCGAACCGGCGCTGCAGAGGCTGTGGGCAGCTTCGCAGCCCAGCGCTCAACCGCTGCACCACCAGGGGAGGCCCGGTACATATAATATTATTTCTAAGAAATCAGAGGTACAGAGAGGTGTATCCCTTGCCCAGAGTTGGATAGAGGCAGAGCTGCCAGCAGAGCGTAGGAATGTTGGCTTCAGAGCTTGAGACCCCGGTACTCACCTGCCTCTTAGTTACTGGCTCAGTCACTCTCATGATTTCATGGGGTTTTAAAGATTATTTTTCTTCTTAATTAGAACCAGTCCACCCTCCGGTGGGAAGAGTAAATATTTGTCATGTTTGGTGACAGATGTTGATGGGCGTATAAAAATTGGTCTAAGGAAAAGTCATGTACTTTCTCTTACATATCCCTCCATCTGTATTTACTGTGCGAAAAGGTCACTTGAGCATAAGAGCTTGAATTTCATGCTTATAACAGCCTCACTGTGGCTAAAACCTTGCTCTTCCAATTGACTTTTAAAGTACTTTGTATTAATGTGTGCCTCTCTCTAATGCGAACCCTCTGGAGTCGTGAAGTTAAGGGCTTCCTAAATAGGACTCTTGTGTCTGTGTTTTACATAAATTCCAGGAACCCACAAGGCAAGTGAATCTTGCTTTACTCTTGAATTGTCACGCTTTCTCCCGACTGCCCATCCACTCACACTTACTGGAAGGAACTGTGGTTCTGGGAGACCTGAGCTGCTTGCCTTGTCAGTCAGCTACCTGGCTACCGTCTGTAGTAGGAGGGGAAGGGAGAGAAGAGGCTAAAAAAGCTGAAATGGTAAATTACTGTAGGTTCTGGAGAAAAATAGAATTAGAAGCATTTGTGGTTCGGATGAAAATAGCACATTTCCTTTCTGCTTGGACTGTGGGGGTCAGAGTGCTCCAGGGAATAGAAAATAAATAAAAACTGATCCCTCACCCGTCGAAGGAAATGCTCTGACTCTGGGAACTGAAGTGACAGCTCCCGATTTGAGGATCTTGTGAAACCACTTTGGAAGGTTTAAAAAAAAAAACAAAAAAAAACACGGGGAGACTAAAAAAATAAAAATGTGATGTACCGTGTTAAGAAATGTAGTCCCTGGAGGTCCTCATGTAGCCCTTTCCAAGACTGGCAGGTGTGTGGCCGCTCCGTCGGGTTGCTGACCGTGACCATTCTGTCTCTTCTTGCAGGTGAGAAGCCTTACAAGTGCTCATGGGAAGGGTGTGAGTGGCGTTTTGCACGAAGTGATGAGCTCACGAGGCACTACAGGAAACACACAGGTGCAAAGCCCTTTAAGTGCAACCACTGCGACAGGTAAAGTGGCTGGCAGCTGCCTGCATGGAGGAGGGGTGAGGGAGGTGAATATGTGGCTTGCGGGGTAGGCTGCTCTGTGCTCGTGGATTTCCATAAATCTAATAGGATTCAGAGCCGGCAGGCCATTCACTTCCCCACTGAGAGAACCAGTGAGATCAGGGTGATCTTGCCTGTCATCAAGTGATGATGGCAGTTGTTGCTTCAGTTACACATGTACTTACTGAAAGCAGGCTTGGACCAGGAGTCACGTTTGTCACTGGCTATCAGTAGAACACAGGTCTCACCTCAAGGAGATGATATGACAGATTATTTTAGTGTAATGTGCAAAGTGACAAGGTAGAGAATGGTAGACCACCTATAGCTGCTGCTTCTGATCTTTTTATTAACATCAATACCATGTTCCCTCATCCTTAATGATCTAAAAGAATAGAAAGGCTGTTTAAAAGAAGGAAGCTTAGTTGTAAGCCTTTCCTCTGAAGCATTATTAGAAATGAAATTTACTGAAGAGAGTGCCCAATCTTTGGGGGTCTGAATCAGTCATTCTCCTTTGAAAGTAGGTACAAAGGTCTAAAAGATGGTGAGGCTTTAAGAACTTATCCTGTAATTCAATTCAGCATATGATAGTGGAAGAAAGAGCACGTAGCCACAGATACTACACAAGTAATAGTATCTGACAGCCCTGGCATTATCAACCAATAAACCCCAAAATGGAGACTCTGCAGGCCAAGGTGAAGGCAGGATTAGGTTTAGACATAATCAAATAATGGGCTTGCATCTGAGCGTGTTATCCTTCTAATCCTATTTCTGTGTTTAAAAGGAAGCTTAAGAAAATTAACCATCTTTTTAATGCAATCCTAAAGGTCTCGGTTATGATGAGAAAAATGCTTCTAATACGATAAAAGCCCTGAAAGCCTCAGGGTTCCCCGGCTGGGCCAGCAGCTCGCTGGATGGCAGCGGGGTGAGCAGGATGTCCGCCGAGGCCTGGCTCTCCGTGGGAGGAAATGTGATCACTTTTGCATCCTGCCTCCCCCAGGCCCGTGCGGCACCTCCTGCTCTCCAGGCCTCCTCTGGAGCAGATCTGGGCCTCCTTTTAGAGGTTTGTTTAGAGAGCAGGGCAGGGGTGCCAAGTCTCATGGGTGGCCAGTTGACTTGGTGCGCCTTTAAGAAGCTTATAAAGCAACATTCATCTTTCCCCTCCATTCTTCCTGAAGAGGCTATTTTCCTCTTATCTTCTTTCTTGCACACACTAAATAAAGACCCCATGCCTCCTGGAGGCCAGAGATAACTCCCCACCCCCAGGCTGAGGAAATACACTTCACGAAGCTATTGTCTTTCATTTCCTCGGAGTGTTCTTCTGCTACCCCAGAACCCCACCTGTTCTCAATTCCTGCCCCAATGCCTAGAAGTCCCCCTGAATGCATGTCTCAGCAGCTGCTGTCCTACAAACTGTCTAGTTATTAATGTCTTCAGTTCCCAGCTTGAATCCTTCTGGTTCATTCTTCTCTAGCTCTGGCCCTAATAAAGCAGCTCCATGCATGGGTCCTGCCCACCATGCTGGGAGGAAGGGCTTTATATCATCTGGGTGAAGAGGAGTTCTTTGGGTATTGTCCAAGTATGGCCATAGGGGTGCACACGAAGCTCCCCTTTCTGCAAGTGTGGGGAGGCTCTCACTTGGTGATCATGTGTGATGGATTGCCACAATGCTTAGAGACAGAGTTCTTACAGGGAAATTGCCAGAGTTAGTATTTCTCTCTTCAACTCAGTTCACTTACTGAGGAATCTGCAGCTTTTTGACAGTTGATACATTAGGATTATATTGGACCATGTACATGATTTAGATGGAGAAATACTTCAAACAGACTGATATTTCAGTGAAGGAGAGGCCAGCGATAGGAAATTTGGTCTCCAACTGCATTTTCTTCATCAGAATATACTGTGGTTTCTAGAGCTAGAAATTGGCTAAGCAGATGGCACAAGTTCGGACATGGTATTTGGAGAAGAGCATGAGCAGCTCACAGTCCTCGTGGTGCTGCCGTCGTCGTGTATTCTCGGCAATGTCAGAAACGAGGGCTCGGACTCTTAGCAGTGTCCACGACAGCAGTGTTTTGTGTTTCACTTGCAGGGATTGTGCTAAGAATAGAGCAGGTTGGGGAGGCGGCGTGGGGAATTGGAGTGGTCCCAAAGAGATGAAAGGCAAGCCTGGGTGACCGCGGAGCTGGCATTATTTGGAAGACTTTTACCTTCAGAAACAGAAGGCATCGCAGCCCTTGCGGGACTCTGAATCCTAGTGGAGGCACCGTGTGTGAGCATGGTTTCCCACGCTCCCTTTGGCCTGTTATCAGACTACTTTATTGAAAGGCAAAGTTACCATTGGGGCTTCCTGTCTTTAAAGCACTACCACGTCTAACTTATACTTTATTTTTTCCATAGGATAGATTTAAAAAATCTACCCTATTGATTGTTTTGCTAACATTTGAAGTTGTGAGATGTCACAAACAAAATGTCTGTACTTCTGACTGTCTCAAAGAAACAGAAGACCTGCTGCAGAGGGCGCAGGTTCCCCCTGGCCATAATTTCCTGGGACAGAATAGCTGTCACTACCCATGGTGATGGCCACGTGATCGCTAAGTCCTCACTGCTCCCACCATTCCCTATAGCCTCCCCCAAATGGAAGTGGTCCATTGGTTGCCATAGAGCATCCTGCTTATTTCCTTTGATGGAAAAGTGATACTTCTTCATATCCAGGCCTTACCAAACACCAACTCAGATAGGCCAAGGGTGCTGTATGTTTTTTACACTTGACTCACTGCCCTCATTTACTTTGGCTCCTAAAGACATTGGGTTTCGTGATCTTTGGCTTCAGGTTGGCTTGGGGGAGATGACAGTGAGGTGTCTTAGCTGTTTCCTACAACCAGACCAAGGGTACAGCCTACCGAGCAGCTGGCCACTGGAGCCAGTAAACCTTGTTTCTCAGTCCAGAGGGTGGTGGGCAGGGGGCCTGTTACCACCAGTGGTGATACAAAAGCCATTGTCTTACCACCCACACAGCTGTGTGTAAGCAGACTGCCTCCAGGGTGGTCCTTCCAAAGTCTTGGGCTATTTAGAGGAGGAATTTTTAATCTTTGAGCTTTGAGTCAGTTCTCTTATAGGTAGTAAGAAATGGCAGCAGTCTCTGCCCTAGAGGATTACCATTGGCTCAATGCCCATATGACTTCAGTGTGTCTTTTTCATAAGCAAGAGAAAAGACAATAGGACTTTGCCTCGTTTTCTGTAATGAACAAATTTCAATCATTAAAGACCTTCTTATTTAAGGTCATTTGACTGCTGTATAGTCATAAATACCCTCTAGGGGTATATTACCCTTAGAATTATTTGATTCTGCATTTCTAAATGCTGAGTTTATCTGTTACCTTTTACTATTCCTGTGTGGAGCTCAGTAAGTATAAATTAATAAATACAAATTAATCACGGCTAAGTATCTTGCTGGTATATTGAATTTAAATAAAAACCCCAGTGGTGAGGGACCTAGTCTAATTCTGAGTATCATCTATTTCCAAAATGTGAACTAATGATGCTAGTTTGGTTAGGAAGGGTGCAATTACATTTCATAGTGTGTTAAAGATTTGTGTTTTTTTTTACTTTTTTTCCCCCTGAAAGAATCTGAAGGGTAAAGATAGATGCTTGCACACATTTGCTAGAAACCCAGCACAGAGCAGGCAATTAACCAAGGCAGAATAAATCTGGAACACATACATTACTGGGTGAATACTTTAAATCAGTCCTATATCAAGAATACTATTTTCCTGTAAGTTCTCAGGATCTAGAGGAAAGGAGAGAAAAGAGATTTCATCTACTGCCAACACCTCTGCTCACTTCTACTGTCACAAAGCCTCATGTTTCTCCTCTGGACATAGGTGCCTGCTTTGGGGTTGGCATCCTGGTGCCTTCTGGGTGGTTTCTCAGTCCTATTATTAGGGCAGGCCAGACAAACTTCTGGATTAGTTGTCTAGCTGTGGCTAGTACCAATTGCCACAAATGTAGTATCGTCATTATTTATCTTATAAATGTATTATCTGAGAGTTCGCTAAGATAGAAGAGCCACCAGGTCTCACTAGGCTAACCTCAAGCAATTATCAGGGCTGCTGATTCCTTTTTTTCTGGAGGCCTAAAGAGAATATATATTTTTTAAGATATATTTTTATTTTATTCATACAAAAACCAGGGTACAGGCCAAATGTGCAGGAGGGTGAGAGGTTTCACCCGAGACAGACTGGGGAACAGAACAGGCAGAATGACTGAAATACACTGCTGAGGGGAGCAGCGGGCAAGATAGGAGAGGTCTGCCGTGCCATGTGTGTTGCTCTGCGGCCTGCGGGGATCGCACTGGCAACTGCAAAGGCTGTGGACAGCTTCACAGAGCTGCGCTCAACCACCTGCGCCACCAGGGAGGCCTCCTAAGGAGAATATTTTATCCTTTTCAGTTTCTAAAGGCTGTCCACATTGCTTGGCTCCTCATGCCATCCCTCCATCATCAGAGACACTGAGTCCTTCATGCTGCCATCTCTCTGATTTCCCCCCCTCCCCCAACTCAAGTCCCTGTCCCATTTGTAATGACCCTGGCCGTGGCATTGGGCCTACCCTGGTAATCCAGTATAATCTCCCAATTTTAAGGTCATCTGGTTACCAAATTAATTTCTTCCATAACCTTAATTCTTCTAGGTCTTCTAGGCTAACATATTCATGATTTCTAAGGATTAGATTTAAATATGGGGAGGGGGCATAATTCTGCTTACTGCAGTCTCCTTGAATTGAAAACTCAGCTCTCCTTTTTCTGCCTAAAAGATAGGTGTAGCTAAGAGGACAGGCCAAGGAATCAGACTATTTGGGTCTATATCCTGGTTTTTCCTTTTGGGGATAAGAATCCTTTCTAGGATTCAGGTAAGGGTGTTGACTTTAAAAAGGGAATATCTACAAAAAGAACTTCCCAACTTAGATCTTCTCCTCTGGGCTGTTGGGATGAAAGCAGCAGGGAGAGAAGGAAAGAAAATCAGTAGTAGGCAAGGCTCAGAACAGGACAGAGGAAGACAAGTTATATGCTAAATTCCTGGGGACTGTATTGCTTTTTCTATGTACCAGTGACATCAAGTGCTTATTTTTAAAGAAAACTTATTGTTTCATTGTCTATCAGTCTTCTTTAGGTAAAACTCTGAGGCATTATCCACATATATTGCTCATATCAAACCAAAGCCTGAAATAAGTGAGTGTGGTTAGAATTGTTGCTATTATTTACATATTACTGGATTAGATTGTTTTCAACAACACTTTCCCTATTCTTTTTTGTTTTTCATTTTACCATGTTTGGTTTTGCTTCATTTCCTTGAGATTCTTCCCTGCACATGCACCTATTTAAGAAATGAACACACGCAGAATGTGTGGAGAAGGCTGGAGTCAGGGGATGGGGTGGTTTTTTGTTTGTTTGTTTTAAGAATGAACAAACACAGGGAAATCCTGCACTGAACAGGAAATCTTGCTCACTTGAGCAGGGCAGCTTGCTAATGTCCTGAGGACAATTCTGGACTGGGTTATTGTCTTAGGCCTCAGGGGAGTCTGGGAATGTTCTCACAGGTAGGAGAGTGGCCAGTTTCAAGAGAAAGATCCAGAGGAAGCACACACCCAGAGCTCAGAATGACCACTGTCTCTGAGCTGACTTCACTGGGATTCCAGCCAGAACCTTAGATGGTAGGCTGCAGGGATCTGGAAATACCAACTCCCTTAGTTATAAGGTACGGAAATGTGACTCAGACTGGTGTAAGCATCTTGGGGTACTTATTAGCTCAGGTAACTCAGAACAACAGAATTCGGCGGTCTCTGGGCTTGGCTAGATCGAGATTCACAGATGTCATCATCAGGACTCTTGCTTTCTCCTTTTGCCCCCAGGAGCTCATTTTTCTCTGTTGACTTCATTCTCAAGCAGTACTTCCCCACGTAGCAATATGGAGACCGGCAGTTCCAGGCTTTAATCTTAGTAGTTTAGCAGCTCCAGTGGAAATAGAGCTCTCTTCTGGTAGTTTCAGCACATTGACCTTCAGAGGCCATAGGATGGTCCTTAGCAGTGTGCTATGGCCAGGACTTCAGCCTTGGGAGGAGGGGCAGCCCCCATACAACTGAGAATGCAGAAGAGCTGAACTCAAGGCAGGACATCGTTGCAGAGACCAGAGGAAGGGGAAGGAGTGAGGATAGCTGCTGCTCCCCCTCTGAGGCTGAGGACACACCCATTGGTGGACACTCAGCACCAAGAAACAGTTTGAAAGAGGGGGCTGGCAGGTGTGCCAGAGTTCTAAAATCACGCTAGCTCTGTCACCCCAGCCTCAGTTTCCTGACCATACACACGCACAGAAGGAGCATGCATGGAAAGTTGCTGAGTCTGTTACTATTTAAGAAATGAACACACGCAGAATGTGTGGAGAAGGCTGGAGTCAGGGGATGGGGTGGTTTTTTGTTTGTTTGTTTTAAGATACCAAGCACTTGCCTGCTTGTTAGTCCACACTCGTTCAGTGTGCTTCCCTCTCCACTCTTTTGCTTGTCTTGCATCTAGAGTAGATATCTGCATAAGCCTTGTAGGTATTCCTTGGCAGCATTTCTGGGCTTTCATTGCAAAGCTTAGGACTGAAACCTACAGCGTCTTCCAGGTAGGATTAATCATTTTCTAAGGGGTGATGGAAGTTGAGGTTTTGAGCTGCACCTCTCTCATCTCCGTGTTGTTGTTTATATTTCCTAGGTGTTTTTCCAGGTCTGACCATCTTGCCCTCCATATGAAGAGACATATCTAAAAACCTGGAAGGCCAGAGTTGCCAAGGCGTCGGCCGTCGTCTAAAGGAAATGCCGTGAGGCGCAGGGGCTGGACTTCAAGCGGGGACCCACTGCCCCGCAGAAGAAAGTTCTCACTCACCAACCTCTGTGTACACACCTACACAGACCCACACACAGACACACACGCACGCATACACAGACCCACACACACACTGTCATGCACTCAGCTATATTTAAAATATATACGTCTATTCTTTATGCCTTGCCCTAGCCAGATGGTAGAAGACAAAGAAAGAAAGCAGGTGAACTCAGCAAGGCAGACTGGCTGCTTACTCCAGCACTATTGGAATTATTTCCCGCTGTTGCCAATGGAAATCAAAGAAAATGGATGTGATGTCTCGGCAGGTGGACGGCAGTAAGAGGGGCTTATTTAACTCGCTTCTCAGTGCAACTTGATAGGAGAATACAACGTCTTAAAGTTGCATTTGTGTAGCACTAATGTTTCTTTTGAAATAGTTGGGGGAAAATGACCTAGAAAACCAAATTGCAGTTTGGTAGCCAAAATTAACTCTTGGTTTATCTGTCCTTTGTGTGTGAAAAGTCCTACTATTCCGTGCGTCCAACTTCCTCACAGAACTGTTGATCGGTTTTGGTTCTACTTAGTACTATCGAGATCTTTCGAGTCGATACCTACCAACGGCCTTAGCGGCGGCAGACTCTGGAATAACACCTAACACCTTTCTGGCCTGCATTTCTCTAGACTTCACTCTCCAGGGAGGAGTTTTCTTTTCTTACTTTTTGACTCTTGCACACCATATGCACTAGGGATTCTGGAAACTTCTAGCATGACTGCAAAGTGGCCAAGAGAATAAAGTCCTTGATGATAAATCACAGTGTATCCCTTGAGCCTCACCTTATTGCCAGTGCTAGATTTTTTCTTTTTAATCTCTGTTTTTGCTAACGAAAACTTGAAAAGCTTATTTGGAAGCTTAAATGTTTTATCTTTTCTCCATGGACTAAACCTCTCCAGGACTCTCTCGGCACCTGGATGTCCAGCTCTCAAAGCAGCCAATCAGATGGGACATCACAGTTCTCTCATCCTCCTTGAGGCATCATGGTCTCGGCTCATAGTGATCGACCCCGTGCCGGGTGTCACGGCCACCCTATAACCAGTCTCAGCATAGATGTCGCTAGTCTCAAAGGGCAGCTGCATATGTAACCTAACTCTGGGTTATGACCTGACAAAAAGCCAAAAAAAAAAATCACTCTTTCCAGGTGTGGGGAAAACTGAGGATGCCTCCCAAGTCTAGTGGCTTCAAAAAACGTCATCCTGTCTTCCTCTCTCATACCCACTGAGCTCATAGGACCCCAATTGTTCAAACACTCCATTCAGAATGCCATTGTGGGAACGGAGGGATGACAGGTAAGGAAAGGGTTGAGGTGTTTCCCTCACAGTCTGTCTAGAGAGAGAGACACATTTCTATTTTTTTTTTTAAACCAGCTAGGCCCACATGACTTGTGACCTAAAGCACCCAGGATCAACAGAGGCCTCACATTTACTCTGCAAGCTGACTCCAAGGGGGCTGACATTCCTCACTTTCCATCCCACACATACACCCAATCTCGGTCTCTACCCGCATTCTTAGCTAGCTGGCACTGGCCTCAACTCCAAAGACTGCCTTTAGGACCATTAAATGGCCTATGCAAGCAAGTGGGGTGGTTATTAGGACAGATTGTATATTTTGTATATTCTGGGACCATCCCTTCGAGACACGTCTAAAAAACAAAAGTGGCATTTGGTCCGCACACGGTTGCTGCTCCTTCATACCAGCCGGCTCCCCTCTGCCCTCCTCTGACTGTTTGACTCATTGACTGTTAAAATACCACCCGTACCTATTTGGGATGCAAAACTGAAGTCTTTAAAAGGAAGTAATAATATAAGAAACACATATATTTATGACAGCAACCTTCAAGATCTTTGGCATTTGGTTTTTCAGCTTTCTGCAACCTTTGATTTCAATGAAATGTTGAAACCACTCATCTGAGGGTAAAAGGAGCCTCCTTATCACAAATGCTGTAGCTGCCAATTGGACACTTGGGGCATTTTGAGGTCTGGCCCTTAGAATTTTCTTTGTCTTTTACCTTTTTTCAATTCAGACCAAAAAACAACAACAAAAAAAATGAAAAACCACCCTAAAACACAACACAAAATCTGCCCATTTGCCGGAGGCAATTATGTATATGTTAGTTGGAGGGTATTTTAAAAAAATCAGTTTTATTCCAAAGATTTAAAACTAGACATGACTTAGAAACAATTTCTGGAGCACTGCTTGCTGACAATCTCGTAATTCTCTACTGCATTTGTGGCCAGTCCATCAGGGCGTACCTTGGGATTATATTTGAATGTGTGGTGCATCCCTTCTGGAGGCAGGATGCGTGAGGGACCTTGAACCTCAGCTGTATTAAACTGTGGCGCCTCCAGTCAGTGCACTAGATGAAATGTTAGACACCCCAGATTCTGTTGGTTCCTTGATTCCCCTTTCTATCACAGCCTCCTGCACAAATGCACGCACACCAGTGATGGCATTAGCTGTGGCTGCCACGATTTACAAATGTCGCCCCAGCTGGAGCTGCTCTTGCCTCTCAAAATGCTCTCATTAAGGGTTTATATTAATTTAATTTTTGAACTGACCAATGCAAGGCTCTATTAAAAGTTAAAAAAAAAAATAAAGCAAAAGAGCAATCACTGCGTCGTCACTTGTTTGCTCCCTGTTGTCATCTGTGGTCTTGAAAAGACCTCATTTGAATGTGGCAGAACAAAGGCCCTTTGGTCCTCCTAGTGTCTGAAATGTTTGGTAATTCCTCTCTCTTTTTGTATCAGTGAGGTCCTTTGTAATCTGCTCCTGACCTTTCTCGAAGCAGGGTGCGTGAACCGAGATGGTGGGCTTGCTTGCTTCAGAGTCATTTGTTGACTGTGAGATTTGGCCTGAGAAATTTGGTGGGTGCTATGTGTATGGCTTTGAAACTGTTCTTCTCTAGCCCAGCGAACATCTTTGAATGATAACCAGTCCTATCCGTGGGAGTGGCCCCAGTCATTTTAGAAACGGATATGTGACACAATACCCATCCTCTCTGAAATGGCAGCAGAGATGGTTGGGCAGAGCCTGTGACAGATTATGGGCTTTCCAAAAAATCACCTGAAGATCTCTTGCTCTCAAGAGGACAGGTCATTTAAAACAGTGCTTTATGGGATAATTAATGAAACACATGAAACCACTTGTTCATATAAATTGTTACCTCCTAACATTCCAGGGGATTCCAAATTTGAAACAAAAAACCTGACCCCGTGTTTCTTGTGGTTGTCCTCTCAAGCACGCTCTATCCAGGGTTCAGAGTTTGATGTATAGAAAAAGAGTGTTTCTAAGCCATGGACAATTTTCTTTATTTCAAGTTGTGCTTCTTTCTCCTACCACATGATTGTAAATCAAAAATGTGGAAACCTGTAATTATAATGCTGCTCCTAGCTACTGGCTTCCTGCCCCACTGATAGTTAACCCACCCACGGTTAATTGACCCAGCTTACTGCCTGGTGGTGATGAGTATTATGTCCAGAAAAAGAGATGTTCAGATTCCACGACAAAGCTGCATTTTATAAAAGTATCGGAGACCCCAAGATGAACTTCATGCTGACCATTTCCTTCTCTCTCTGTGTTTTCCCTTTCCAACTCCTTCACATACCACCCCCCCCTGCACCTCTCATGACCTTTTTGCATCTTTGCCTGATTATAACAGGGTAAAAAGACAGCCAACCTCATGCATGATTAGAACTGATTCCTATTTTTTAAAAAATCTTCTTTGACTCTAGAAGCCAGAGAAGATTTTTTAAAGACTTTCGTTTGGGATATGCTTCCATATTAGCCATGTCTACTTGCATTAAAGGGGAAATATGAGACTTCAGGGTGCTCACCCAGAGCATTCAGAACACTCTATCGCTGCCTCCCTGCTCCTGAATTCTCTGGCAAAGCCAAAAGAAGTGGACCCAGGTTGGAAAAACACTGTAGTTTAGTGATTAGTTTTATTAGTTCCAAATGATTTCCCCTATGGAAGTCACTTCATAAAATGTAAAATACAGTGCAAAGTGCTTTTGTCTTCTCTTTTGCATGAGTTGGTTTTAAGAGAAGGACCAAGGTAGGAAAGTTCGAGATGCATCACCATTTAACTGCAAAAATCAGGTTCATGGCTTCTTTCTTTTATAACCTTCTCAGGGCCAGCACTTCTGGCCATGATTTTGCACCCAAATCTTTGCCAAAGTGAAAATTCATTACGTAGGACCTGGTTGAAATATACTTGTGGAAGCTTTCCCTGGCATTTTCCAGAGGTGTCCATCTGCCAAGTACGGGGCGGGGGCAGGAGGAGAGAATTTGCATCCGGGGTCTGGATTGAATTTCGGTAGACATGGCGATATCTCAAATTGAAAACTTAGAGGGGTTAGCCCACGTGAACATCAGTGCCTCTGATGGCCTACTTTCCTCAGTGAGGATCTTTGGGAATACTTGAGATGGAACAACAAAAATGTGTCAAAGGAAGCAACAACTGCTTGTAAATGTGAGATCCCATGACTAACTGCCTGAAAGTGTCAGGGTTTTCTCTTGCTTTTAACACTCTTTAAAATCTCCTCTGTTGATTCCTAATAGATCCCAGAAAAGGGAAAAATAAAGCTGCAGTTAACTTTCTTATGTGCATCCTTCCAATAGAGTACTGTATTCTTCTGGTGTTTTTCATTTACTTGTAAGTCCTCGGGAAACAGGTATCAAAAATGGAGAGAGAAATTCTAGGCTGTCATTTCACAAAAATCCCAAACAAGATACTCTTTTCAAACAGGGCTCCCTCTCAGTGGTCATGAGGGAAAGTTGATACGTTCTTTGTTGGGGACTGTTTATACAATTTTTTTTTCAACTGTGAGCTTTGGAATCGTAACTTGCTTTGACTCCAGCTTCTGTCTACTGCCATAAAATGGACCCCACGTCAGAATAATGAGGGTGGTATGTGTGCACACACCTAGGTGTGTGTGCATCTGTACCTGTTGTACCTTCGCAGAAGGAAAACAGTTAGGCTACTGACGTTTAAGAGGAGTAGCCACCAGTGCCTAATATCTTTTGGGGGGGATGGATGCTTATAATTGCCAGTATATTGAAATCTCACTGGGAGTTCCACCAAGGGGGGCGGGCCTGAGGGTGGGAACGGGGACATTTTAATCGTGGGCCTTTAGACCATACATAGGCAGAATGATTTTTGCAAAACTAGGTCTCGAAAGGCTTTTGGGCTCATTGGCTGGTTCTCAACACCCACCCATCCCCTTTTCTTTTCCCCCAGCATGCATTTCCTATCTATGCCCAGACTTAGTTTAATTTCCTTATCTTTCCACTTCTGCTTCATTCCAGGGAGGAAAAATACACCTGTTATGGCCAAGATCTCCTTGCTAACACAGAGGCAAAAATCAATGTTTCATGTTTTTGAAGATCCCCCCAAATTCCTTCTCTCTCATCTCCTCCTCCCTCTTCCTACCACACAACCTCCCAGCCACCACCACTTTTCTTTCGAATCTCTATCCTCTTAACAGTTGGCTTGAAGAAATTTATTTTTGCACTATACATTTTCTTTTTTGCCACATGTGTCTAACAAGTGTGTATGGAGAGACCTACTCCCAGTCCCTCCCCTCCCCCACCTCCCCGTCACATTCTCTCAGGCCTTCTCTGGTATTTATAATATATCACAGAAGTACCCAGTCTTATAGCCCTTGGTTATGCCTTTTTTTGACATTTTATTTTTTTTAAGCTTTTTATATATATATATATATAAATATATTACTTTGTCAAGTTTTTTTGCTGTACAAAAGTCTTAAGATTTAAAACTATTATTTGTATTATATGATGGTGGTATGTTAATGTTACAAAATTATTAATGAAGAAAAAATTTATTTTTGTTACTGGTCTGTTTCATAATTCTTTTTTAAATTGGTATATTGTAAGATATCTATGCAAAAAATGTTATGTGACGCATTTTTATTTAAGAATGTAATATGTGTAATAAACAGTAGAATGTGTTTGGCCTTGGAATGCTTTACTGTATATCTCCTTAGCTAATTTCACTGAGAAGGAAAAAAATCCTGAGAGAGATTCAAGGGGTGGGTCCTTATCTACTTCATACTAATTTCCTTTCTAGAGAGAAAAAGGGCGAGCAAATGATTGTATTTGGTCATTTTTCTTTGGGAAGTTATTGGCGGGTTGTGTGTGTGTGTGTGTGTGTGTATTTTGTGGTTTCAGTGAGGTATCTCAGTGCCCAAATAAGAAGGAACACTGAAGACAGTTAATTTCTTTGAGGAGAGGAGGGAGAAATGGTTGGAGGTTATGAAAAGCAATATTTTAAGACAAGGTGGGTTATGGGATGTTGTTTGTGTAGGGCCTTCGGAGAGGCTTATTGAAAGTAGTAGTTTATTTGGTGAAAGAAGATAGTGTGATAGTGTTCTATAGCAGGGTCCATTTGGAAAGCAGTTTGGGGAGGAGGAACAAAGGGGAGGCAGAAGGGAATAATTTAGTGAGGGGTGGGAGTCTTAGTTTACAGAAGATGGCTGTTAATGAAGTGGAGAAGGGCTAGCCAAGCCAGAGGGAGACACCCTTGGGTTCCTTTACATATTACAAGAAGGTACATGCAAATATAAGCAGCCTCAAACAAGAGGGAGATGGAAGGACGAGAGAATATACTCAGGACTGAAAAGAACACTGACTAAAAATCTCTTCCACATATGACTTCCAGGAAAAAACATCAAAGTAAGGAGGAAAGCAGAGAATTATCTGCTTTTCCTGGTGGCTCCCCAGGACAGTAGGGCCTTTCACTGGAAACAGTGAAATACCTTTGTCACATCCGTGAACATGGTGATTACCTAGGTTTCTTCTCATACTTTAGCCTTATGGAAGTGGATACAGTGGTAAGTAATTTTTGTCCCTCATCATATGAATCTGACAAGCTTTTCAATAAATGCTCACATTGGAGACTGCGGCCATGGTGACTGAACTTGCTGTAGAAGCACAGGTACAGCTGAGCCGTGTCTCAAGGAAAGTATGTGTGAGGAGTGTTGCAGGAGGGTTGGAAGCCAAGTGATGGTGTCTTTTTTTTAAATTTATTTTTATTATTTTTACAATACATAATTTTTCTTTATTTTTAAACAATATTTGCTTCCCCCCACCCCCTCAGGTGTAGTCCCCATAGAATTTCCTTCCCCATGGCACCCGTGCACCATCACCTCAGTCCCCTGTGCTCCTCCCTCCCTCCCTCTCATCCCTCTCCCACCTCCTCCCCTGCAGGATGTCTCCGATTTGTAATTGTCTGTTTTTGCTTTGTTGTGTTGTGTACTGTTACTATTATTTTTCACACTGATGTCTTATTTGGTTCCCCTATATTCCTGCTATAAGTGAAACCATCCGATATTTTTCTTTTTCCTTCTGGCTTATTTCACTGAGCACAATTCCTTCTAGCTCCATCCACGTTGCTGCGAATGGCATGAGTTGAGTTTATCTTTTTTGGTTGCTGAATAATATTCCATTGTGTATATATACCACATCTTCTTGATGCAGTCATCTCTTTTTTTTTCTTGTTTGTTTGTTTTTGTGGGACCCTCGCTGGCGGCCGGGGAATGAACTGGCACTGCAGAAGCTGCCCGCAGCCTTGCAGCCCAGAGCTCAACCGCTGCGCCACGAGGGGAGGCCCCTCCAGTCATTTATTTTTGGGCATTTGGGTGTCTTTGCTCAAATAAAACTTAAGGTAACAAGAACAGTAAATGCTGCAGGAAAATGTCTCTAACGATTGCACATGTCAGCTGCCGTAACTCCTGAGCAGGCAAGTGAGCTGGACAACAGTTTCTTCAGACTGATCTGAAGTCTGCAGACTTATCTTCAGTCCCTGGTCATTCAGCAGCTCCATGACCAAATGAGTTATTTAATTCTCATGGTCATCTGTCTAGGCATTTCTCTGTGAGAGGAAGGATAAGATAGCTTTGCAGTATCACCCAGAACAAGGCTTATTATTCTGTAATGCTAAGTCTGACTTGTGAAAGAATATCCAATTAGTCATTTCAGGTGGAGGACCATCTGAACTGTGCAGGAGAGTTAGGCAGACAAGGGGGTATAACTTACTTGGTATAAGATAACAAGATGGGTGACATACATGAATATTATGGACAACTGAAGTTGTATATTTGAAGATATAATTTTCCTTAAATCATGTCTAAAAATACATTAACCACTTCACAAACTTTTTGAGCATCCACATTTGCAATATAATACAAATTCAAGGAGGGCTCCAGAATGGGGTTCCATGGCCTGTGCTAAGTGTCTCCACACTTGATAATGGGTGACTCGCCTTTCTCCACTGCATCCTTCCCGCTTCGAAGCTCCAAGTTCTTTGTGCCACCTTCTAGCAATAGCCATACCCTTGTCAACTAGCAGGCCACAGAAGCAAGCTTGGTAACTTAGTAAGCACAAAAATAATTGTAATTTGATTTTAACTTGCAGTGGTCTGAAAGTATAACCTGAGTTTCCTAGGGGAGTAAAGTGCATAAACTGCATGACACTTGCAAGCTGAGGTTGTGTATCAATAATTGGGAATTCTGGGCACATGGGAAGGAACCTTGTAAAAAGCACAGCTGAGTGGAATTGAGAAATAATTCAGTCAAGCTGGCTCATCTTCCACTTATGACTACAGGTTTAGAAGAGGAGATGGTTAAAACTTTTAACTGGAATAAGATTTTGAGGTGACTGATAAGTGATGGCAGTCTGGATTATGCATGATGAGGCATTTCATGGTTCCTTCTCCAACATTAAACATGTTATATGACCACTGTTGGCTGGCTTGACTTTAACCTATTTTTAAAAAATTCTGCTTGATCATAAGTTTGTTATACATACCACTGTACTTAAAAATAATGAAATGCTGCAAAGACAGTTACAAGGGGGTGGCAGAATAAGGTTTGTACAGAATTCTTCATTTCACTCACACTGCTTTTGAGCTGTCCAATGAGACTGCATAGTATTGCAGGTGTCACTCACCACCGTGACCTTTTGCCCTCGCAGATAGAGAAATGGGTTCTCGGAAAGCATGTGACTTTATGCAGGCCCAGGAGACACAGGGGAGGCAGAGCTGATGCGTAAGTCCCCTGACTCCAATGCAATGAACTTCCCTCTACAATTCACTGCTCTGAGCAACCAGGACTTAACTCGATGTTTATGTGTGTCTTACAGTGAAATCACCACTGGCAAGACTGGTTTAATTTCCCCATTTCCTCCTTATTGGTCATAGATGGCAACCTATAATATAGATAAATCACCACTAGATGCTAGAATTGGCAGGGATCTTGGTGATCTCCCTCAATGCCACTCTTGTGCTTAAGGCTGAGAGAGGTTGTAACTTGCCCAAGATCATACAGCACATATCTTGAGGAACAGGGGTGAACCCCTGGTGGTCCCTACATGGTAATCCTCTGGTGGTCTTTGTGGTGTTTCTTAAACTTGAGTATGACCTTCAAGATTCTTGTGACAGCACTTCCTTCCCATTTTTCTATTCCTTCATTTGTCTTTAAAAATCAATCCATTTTGGGCCTCCCTGGTGGCACAGGCAGTTGAGTGCAGTGCTGTGAACCTGTCCGCAGCCTCTGCAGTGCCCGTTCGATCCCCACTGGCCAAGGAGCAACCCACATGGCTCGGCAGACCTCTCCTGTCTCGCCTGCTGCTCCCCTCAGCAGTGTCAGTCTGCCTGTTCTGTTTCCCGCTCTGTCTCTGTTGAATCCTCTCCCCCTCCCGCACATCTGGCCTGTACCCCAGTTCTTGTATAAATAAATAAATAAATAAATCTTTAAAAAAATAAACAACCCATTTTTTCCACCCTTGGATATCTGTTTTAGCTTTGTGGTGAGCAAAAATATTCCTGAGACCACTGTTTTGACTATTTTCCCTTCAAATACAAATAAAAAAAAAATAACAAGAGGGCCTCCCCGGTGGCGCAGCGGTTGAGCGCTGGGTTGCGAAGCTGCCAGCAGCCTCTGCAGCGCCGGTTCGATCCCCGGCTGCTCCCCGGCCACCGGAGGAGGGTCCCACATGGCGTGCAGACCTCTCCTGCCGCCCGCTGCTCCCCCCAGCTGTGTACTTCGGCCCTTCTGCCTGCTCTGCTCCCCGCTCTGGCTCTGGTGAATTCTCTCACCCTCCCGCGCTTCTGACTGTACCCAGTGCATGTATAACCAACCAACCAACCAAACAAACAAACATATAAATAAATAAAGCATGCCTCTATTAAAAAATAATAAAATTTAAAAAAAATAATAATAATAAATAAATAAATAAAATAACAAGATAAAAAATGTTCAACTTTGTGTTACCCTAAAACCCTCTATTAACTGCTAGTGGTATCAGAGAGATACTGTTCTATCCCATTCTCTAAAATCTATGCTGTTCCATTTCTCTTTAGCTAATTATTTAGTCCATATGATGCTCCTTGGAGCTCATTTCAAATTGAATCTAAAACTAAGTGCATGTGAAAATTTAATAAAGACTGATCTGATGACTGGGAAGTTACTTAAGGACCCAGAGGTCTCCTAGGAGGAAGATAATGTGGCCACGAGTCGGGGGAGTGAGAGGAGTGAGCATGCATCCTCTGCCTGCTTCCCATCCCTGGAACACCCATCTTCCCTCAGGGAGAGGCACTTTCAGTGGATGGGCTCAGGGCCAGGTCATGCCATTATTCTGGGAATAGAGCCCTGAATATTAGGCGTTGACTGCATC